AAGACCATCAGAAGATAAGCTGCTTCAGAAATAAATTGTCAGCAATGGCTCTAAGTCTTTTGCTGTATATTCCCTGCCTGGAAATATAAGCTGGGGGTGTTCTTGGGGAACCTGGAATTCTGTAAGTTTTGGATTTAGAGTACAGGCCAGAAGAGGAATGGCACGGTTAGTATTGTATAATTGGAGCAATGTGTTGGTACCAAAAAAACAGGAGTGAGAAAATAAGAAAATCATTGAACTTCATTTTTTTTAAGGAGTAACACTTTACCGCCCATTTCTAGTATAACAAGCCCAAAATATGTTCCTGGTTATTGACATTTTGCAATGTAGGTACATTTTTAATAGTTGTTACCTAATCTCAAACTTTTGTCCTCCTCCATTTATCATTTCTTTACTCTTACAGCATTCCTTCCTAGTAGCTTCTGTATGTACACAACATTGATAGCCATGACTGGATGGTATATGGACAAGACTTCTGTTGCTGTGCTGGGAGTAGCAGCTGGGGCCATCTTAGGCTGGCCATTCAGTGCGGCTCTTGGGTAAGAAACTAGCATGGTTCCTCTCCCATTTATCACTTGGCATATATTAAATCTTAATGTTGCATTATCTCCATATTATCTGGGTAGCACCTGAAGTTACAGGAATCAATTTGGCCTACAAAGATTTGGAGAAATGGAAGACTATTTCTTTTAGTGCTTATTATTATGATTAATTCTAATAAGAATGGTGACTATTAAGCATCTGCTATATATTAGGCACTGCTAAACCATTTGTAAACTTTATTCTGAAACCTTACAACATCTCTGTAAGAGAAATATAATTACTAGTGCTTTATAAATGAGAAAGTGGACTCCAAGAGTTTGAGTATTAATAATTTGCCTTTAAGATTATGCTTGCTTTTGAATCCAGGGCTTTCTGACTCTAGAGCTGATGTTTTTTCCACACTACACCACTTTGTTCTATGCATTTTTCCAGTCACTGAGGCTTGAAATCTGAGTTTCCTTCAGTCCTCCTTCTTTCTTGACCCTAGCATCTTTTTTTCCCAAGTTCTTTTTG